ATGAAAACCAGTTTAATACAGATAAATGATACTGCTCTAGCAAAATTATTAGTATTCTGTTCAAACTTCTGTTATAATAGAAAGCATTAGTTATTCCACATATTATTACAAAATATGAACAATGGAAATATTGGAAAATGATTGGAAAATTTTATTGGACAGAATTATCATGACAGACAGCAAGATTGAGCAAGAAATTGTTTATTATGTGATATAGATTAAAGATAAATATAGAATGAATTGATGTATTATGCTAATCTAAAGAAATATGATTGTGTAAAATTATATTATTGAAAAGTACATGTATAATAATGGTTAGATTGCTTCTATAGTGTTTGTCCTCAAAGGACCTTCAGTTTGGCTTGAAGGTTTGAATGTCATGTATTTATGCTATCTCTGTAGCCAAGTCGTTCATACTAGGCCTACACTCTATAGTTTAATCAATAGTAGATCGCATATCGCTATGACAGCGTGCTAGCGTACATCGTGTTGGAGAGCTGAAGGTGTATTGATTATTCGAAATCATGTCTTGGGTATTCATTGACTTTCGTGAACTATAAGACGACTATGCCATATACTTGGTAATTCTGTAGAAAACAGTAGAAAGTAAACCAAGGCAGGCACAGCCATTCATTCACTTATTTTCACCATTTTGCTTTATGTATTATCTCAGTATATTTTGGTTAATAGCAGAATTTGTCTTTTAGTTTCTTTACTCTTGTTCCATTAATGGATGACATTTAAAACAAATTATACCTAGAAAACAGTTTTTGTCAACTCCACCCACTTTGCATTCATCCTATTGTCTTTTAAATCTACATGTATTATAAATTTTATAGGTGGGGACTATTACAATGGATTTGTCTGTCTGCATGTCTGTCACACCTTCTGGGACATAATAAAGTTAAACAGTCCTAAACAATTTTGAACCTATAACTTTGATTCTAATTGAGTTATGGGTATAAAACATGGTGTATCATTTCATTACATCAGTCCATTGAGTAAGTTCGATAAGGGCCGCAGTAGGACGTTAAACCCAATTTCATTTCATTTCATATCAATCTTTCATGGGGCCCTCTGGCTAGAAAAGAAATGTTACTGGGGGCATATTCTGGTGCATGCTGGCTGGGTGCTTTACCGTAGCTGCAGAATTTTTATGTCCCCCTTGTTAAACTCTTTCATAACATAGGACCTATTTATTTATTTAACAATTTCAGCCCTCCCCCCACCCCACTTCCTAACCTGGACATGAGTTCCATAAGCATTTTCTGCTCGTGTTAAGCAGAGTGATAATTTGATTGTAATTCGGTATATATACTCTTTGACCCATTTTAGGCTCCTAAGAATAGAGATTTAGCTCCTTTAAAATGACATTGAACAGATAATAGTAAGGAATTGTAAATTAGGTGTTTATTGTTCATACTATAGGTGAACCCAGACTAGCAATTATTTGCCCATTGACTTCAATGTTAAATGGCTGTAACATCACAGGCTGTAGCTTTTTGCTCAACATTCTGTTGGTTTCAATCTTTATAGGCACAAAAGGGACCACATTTGGCAATCCCCTCATCATAATTTTGTAGGGGGTTAACCATTTAGATTTTTTGCTACAGGGATTTGATGTTGACTGGGGTCAAAATCTCACTTCCGACACAATGATTGCTCTGCAGAAAGACACTTTACACCCACTATCCCTCTGCTGTAATATCATCAGTATTACCCAAAACTACTATGAAATTGCAAATTTGATCCCTTTTATCCAATTCTAGACATGAAAAGTCAACCCAAATTAAGGGAAAAATTGTTTACTAATAACTCGCACTACATTCGTTAAATCATGAAATAAGGTGTAATAATTTCTAGTCTTAGTCCAGGTTTTCAAATTCTGTTTAATAGTTACCCACCCCACCCCACTTTTGACGACTTTTATTTCAAATTTGAATTTAAGCATTTGAACATAGGGAGGATCAGTTCTATCGATTTTCCATGTTCTCTGTAAATATCTTGGCATATCTTGCATAACAACCGCATGTTTTTATTTAACTGTGAGATATTTTGATTGAAATTTGGTATATAGCAGGGTTAGAGATCAAATTTGTATTTCATCAAATTCGGTTAATTTTTAACCGAATTATGGCCCTTTGTTTACCCAATGAAAATCCTGTTTACTGGAATTAATTTATGTTTAAACTTTGAGGTATTTGATTGAAGGTTGATACACTGCTGTGTTTAGCAGGCCAGATTTGTGTTTCATTGGATTGAGTTAATGTTTTGGCTGAATTAGGTTTATGGAATTGAAATTAATGAAAATTATGTTTTTAGGTTAAACTTTGCAGTATATGATTGAAATTTAATATATTAGTGTTACAGATCATTTAGTGAACATTCTGTTTTATAGATTTATTACAGCTATACGTGTTCAGATAATATTTTCACAGAAATGTATTTGCAATATCATCTTCTTATACAGATGCATACATTTTCAAATTTGTAGAGATGGTTAAGGACATGTATTGCTTAGGCAATACTTCCAAAGAGCTTGTTTGAGAAGAATTTTAACCCTTTGTTTTCAGCCTACCTATAAGTTTCGGTGGGGGGGGGGATGATTAGTGATTGAATGGGTTAACATATAGATCACAAGGTCTTTCATTGAGGCAAGTCGCGTCGATTTGACCCCCAGCTTGCACCTGACAAGGATTAGGGTCACCTGTCCAACCTCATGAATCTTCTCTGGTTCTTCAGGTTTCCTCCAACTGCTAAAGACCCCTATATGCAAGCGAATTATTGAAATAAAATTTAACCTTATTATGATAGTCCCAAAATGACCTAGTTTGTGTTGAGTGGACGCTGAACCCTATTTCTCTATCTCTCTATATATCTTGCTTGTATAGCTTGCTACATCAAAGCTAAATATATATATAGATAATAGGTAATGTAAAGAATAAAGGAAATGACTCAACAAAGATATAATAAAGATAAGACAATCCATATCTTAATCAAAATTTCTATCTTAATTAACAATGAATAATAAATGTGTTGAAATAGATATAAATCCGGTTGTTTATTAAATATTAATGTGTAGAATAAAGTGGGATAAATGTAAATGTTCTTTTATATGTATACTGCTCATCCATTTTTGAAAAGTAGTCAAATATTGTCATTGCCAATGTCCTGCGGTTTGTTTTGTTTGCTTGAGACCAGAATCATGATCCATCTTGAGGACACTTTAGTGGATAAAGTTAATATCCGATTGACTTTAGATTTATACACAGTGTTTAAGGTCATGAGATGAAGAATCCCGTTGAATTTGATAATTACGGCCAGAGTTATGGTCCCTGATCACTTTGGAATCTTGTGGTCACTCAGAGATGAAAGTTATCATCTGACTTTACATTTATTAAATATTTAAGGTCTTTAGATGAAGAATCCTATTGATTTTTAATGATTTGCTACAACTCGAATATACTACATGTTTGCATGGGTCAAACAAATCGTAATGATTTCTGGTAATTACTTAATTGGTTGTTATTCCAAATTTTAGCGTAAATGTTCTTACCAAACAAAAGAAAAATATGTGACAAACCTTTTGGGTTCCATTTTGGCACATTGCCCACATCGCGTTCATATAGATCCTATGTTTAGTGAAAAGTGGTATGCAGTTTGTTAGTGCAGCCATATTTATAAAAAAATACAATTTGTACTACGGTACCTAAAATTTTTAAACACTGTAGGATTTTAGTTATTGTTCTTAATAACTGAAATTTTCGATAAAAAAAATGTGATTATCTTTATAAATAATAAATTGTAAATGACAATCAATAATTTCGATAATATTTTAAAAACGTTTCATATAAACTCAGCATGTACAAGTTGAGTGAGATTTATAACATAAAACTATTTTCGACATTGTTTTCAATTAATTATTGATTTCCTGCTAGACAATAATTGAAATTGGATTTCTGTGACTTCTTAAAGGTCTGATTGTATTTTAAAGTCACGCTGCCATTCGTCCTCAGAAATAGAATATCTGAGAAATTGAATTGAATACTGGCTCAGGTTTTAAAAAGTCATAACCTCAAGCATAGATTAAAATTTTATTCATGTAAAATTAGTACAATAAGCAGACAATGCCCTTTCACCCAAATCTAAGACTCTTAGATAAGATAGGAGCCGCTGTGGCTCAGTGAGTAAGACACTGGCTAGCTAGTCTGGAGGTCTCAGGTTTGTTCCCGGTGTTGGTCAAGAAAGCTTTTCAGTAGTGCAGGCTAGTAGTTTAGTCGTTCAGATGGTACCGAAAACCGAGGTCCTGTGTAGACATTGGCATGCACATTAAAGAACCCTTGACAATTGGAATTCAATAAAAGAGTAGGCTGTGTCTGGGGAAATTTCACTGGATATAGCATATGCCTATCTTCATTAGCCCAGTCGGTGCAAAGAAGTAGGATGTTTAACCCCATTTTATTTCATTTCTTAGATTTAAGACCATACCAACTTTTGTTCTCAACGAACACAGCCTACTAAAATTTTGCTTATTTGTTGAGGAAAAAAATATAATTGAATCTTAAAAAAAAAGGTACTGGACATGGTTTTTCTTTTCGAAGGCTTTTAATTTCAAACAAAACATTTTTCACCAGACTGGTGTGGTTATTTATCAGTACCCCATAGAACTAAACATTACATTGCTTTGGCTTAATGTGAAGATTTAAAAGGCTATGTATTTTCTATTTGTTATATTTACAATTTGAATATTTCTTATATTTACAGTTTCAGTATATTTCCTATTTTTACAGTTTCAATATTTTTTATATTTCCTATATTTCCAGTTTCAGTATTTCTTATATTTCCTATATTTACAGTTTTATACTTCCTACATTGTACATGTACTGTCTTATATTTCCTATATTTACAGTTTTAATATTTCTTATATTTCCTATATTTACAGTTTTAATATTATCCTATATTTATAATTTTAAGATTTTTTATATTTCCTATATTTACAGGGGTGTTGTAGTGTTTGATATTGATGTTACAATGTTAGAAATTAACCAATGCGCCGAAGACAACGCGTTATTTTCAAATTCTCATCGATGTCGCAAAGAGACAACAAAGGTAAGTCTTTAAAATTGTGCAAAAAATCTGGAACATTTTTAGAAATCAAGGATGAGTTAATGTCCACTGTCAAAATGTGTTATTCATACAATTTTCAGTTTTCAGTCAATCACTGTGAATGAAAACTTGCAGGTCATTGGTATATGAAAATAGAAATTCAATATTAAATACAAATTATAACAACAAAAAAATAGATAAAATTGGTTAATGACTAGTATATTTGAAAGACTCCAGTGAAGATTCTCAAAAACGTAGCTTCCCCAAAGTTTTCCTCATAGCACACTGCATGGTATAGGCCTATCTTCATTGACACAACAGCCAATTATACAAATCGTAGAAAGGTCTGAGAAAATGAATAATTAAGCTTTCGATCAGTGTAGGGAAACATTGTGCTAATTGTGAGAGCCTCTGAACCCTTGATAGTTTGCAAATAAAGCCAGTTAGGGAGCCGCGGTGGCTCAGTAAGTAAAACTTTGGCTCACTAGCCAGGAGGTTTTGGGTTCGCTCCCGGTGTTGGCAGAGAAAGTTACTCAGGATTTTCCGACATGGTTTTCTCTTGTCAGTGGTGCAGAACGGAGGGCCTGACAAAGACAGCTGTCTAATTGTTCGAATCGGGCAAAAAACGAGGTACATACATGTCACATTAGGGTGCACGTTTATGAACCATTAACAGTTGGAATTTGGTGTAAGTGTAGGTCGTGGTGTCGCTGTCAGGGTAAAATTTTGCTCATAGCATACTTTATGGTATATGCCTGTCTTCATTAGCCCAGTCGTTACAGAAAAATAGGATGTTAAACACAATTTCATTTGAAGCCATTTATAGATTCAATAGTTGACGTAAATGCCATTGAAGGAATTTATTTTTAAAGACATGATGAAATGATGGAGTCTTATAATATTTGTCAAGATCCAGACAATTGTTTCAATAACAACTTTGATTTCTCTTACTAGGCAGCCATTTATAATAATATTTATTTTATGGTCTACTTGATTTCTGATTTCAGTGTGTTCACATACCAGGAAACGGATTTGCCTGGGGAAGTTACCAGTGTCATTGCAATGGTGGATTTTATTTTCCCGATAATTTAGCCGCCAATAAATATTTTGATGGACGAACTGTGGAAAAATTATACTATGATTTAATTCAAAATGTATCAACCGATTACTTATCGAACTATCAGTGTCTTCCGTGTAGAAAGGGGTGTGAAGAATGCGCAGGGGAAGTTCCCTGTATAGTGGAATATAATGTGTTGTTAAGAGGAATTCCACTTGGCATACAAAGTTTTTGTTTGACTGTCACTATTGTTTTAGCCATGGTTATAATTAGACTAAGGAAAGCCAAGGTAAGCTGGTTATATTATTATTATTATTATTCGGAATCATTGTGATTGACTAAAATTATTTGTCAATATTGATTAGACATTAAACACCGTTTGTCATCATGTCCCTGGCCAGAATCTCATATACGGTAGTGTGTCCGTATTTGCCAAATGTGACATAATATCTTACTGTCTTGGTCCAGGTACTAATAACCAAATAAGAAGGTCATGAGTTATGAAGTTTTGACCCACCACTTTGATTCTGTTATTTGCCTAGTTGAAATCGGAATTAGAAACAGCCGAACATTTTTGATTATATATTTGAAATTATATCAGCTTGAAATTATTATTCAAATTAATCCGATGCAGAAGCTTAATTATAATCTTGAAATTATTCAAATTAATCCAATGCAGAAGCTTAATCATCAAATCATCAATTTCCATTAATTATTTCTAGTTTATTGTCCTTGCTCACTTTGTAGAATCCGGGGGTTGGAGTCAACTGGCGTGGTTTTGATTCCCGGGTTGCACCTGACAAGGAGTAGGGTCGCCTGTCCAATCTCATAGGTTTTCTCTGTGTCCTCCGGTTTCCTCCGACTGTTAAAGACCCCTACGCACAAGCAAATTATTGAAATAAAATCGAACCATTTGTTGGTCCCAAAGTGACCTGGTTTGTATCGAGTGGACTTAAACCGCATTTCTCTCTCTCTCTCACTTTGTAGAATCTAGTTCCAAATGTATTTTACAAATTAGTGAAATGAACAGGCATATTGAATTGAACAATTTCCGTTCATTGATTCTAGAGTTATGGCACTTGTTGTCTTTGTAAAATATGCTTGAAATTTACAATAATTAATTTATTTGCTCTACATTAGTACCATTCTACAAAGATGGATTTTGAAATATCAGCATATATCTAAATTCTTTCAATGGCATTTAGTAATTAAACTGAAAATACATACACTGTAGGACACAATGCTATGGGCTACAATTGTTGGGAACCACAGTGGCTCAGTGTGTAAGACATTGGCTCACTAACATTTGGCCGTGAAAGTTCATAGGGATTTTTCCTTCGTCCGTGGTGCAGGACACAGGGCCTTGGCAAGGGACAATGTATAGTCATTCAGATTGGATGAGAAACCGAGGTCCCATGTACACATTGACGTACATGTATAAGATCCCATGGTAGTTGGAATTTTATATAAGAGTGGGCTGTAGCGCCGCAGTCCGAGCAAAAGCTCTCTCATAGCACACTGTATGGCGTATGCCCATCTTCATTAGCCCAGTTGGAGCAGAACAGTAGGATGTTAAACCCCATTTCATTTGAAACCATTTATAGATAAAAATAGGTATTTTAGGTCCTATTGTTTATTACTTAGTGATGTGTCATCTAAGATTCACTATTCCGTATTATACAAATGATACAGTTCTGAAAAACTGTTGACACATATACATGTAAACAACGAAATATTGGATACCTAAACTACATAAAAATCCCTAACAACAACTTTTTATAGCAGGTTCATCCGGTTGTTCCACAAAATCACTTTCAAAAGTATTGACATCTATACTATACTAACAGCAGTTAAAGAGGGTATTCAAACATACTGTGACAGAATATACTCTTGCGGTGGTATAAATCAAATGTGGATATTAAAAAATTCAAAAGAATTATTTTATGGTTTGCAATCAAGATCACTTGCTTCAGTCTGTTTGACTTTTTTTTACCTTGTACACTAAAATTCCTCATAGTAAATTAAAAGCACAGTTAAAAGATTCACGATGTCTTTTCTTCTAAATTGGGAACTGTTAGATATGAATATCTAGTTGTTAATTACAATTCCACATATTTTGTTAAGAACCACAGTAACTCCAAAAATAAGTACACTGCCAACAATATAATTCAGATGTTGGAATACTTAACTGATAATATCTTTGATGAATGGGGGGTTGGATGACTGAATGGTTAACGCATGTGTGTTGGATCAGAACGTCGGTCATTGAGTCAAGTGGCGTGGTTTTGATTCCCCGCTTGTACGTGACAAGGAGTAGAGTCACCTGTCCAACCTCATGGGTTTTCTCTGTGTCCTCCGGTTTCCTCCGACTGTTAAAGACCCCTAAGCACAAGCAAATTATTGAAATAAAATCGAAACCATTTTTTAGTCCCAAAGTGACCTGGTTTGTATCCAGTGGACTTAAACCGCATCTCTCTCTCTCTCTCTCTCTCTCTCTCTCTCTATTGGTGTGTGACACCAGGCAGGCTAAGCTTACTCTTCCAGGCACCTGTTACCACTGTTCATCATGTATGTTGTATATGGTGAACAGTTTAATTTCTCGATCACTTAAAAAAATAAATAACTCAATTAATTATTGATGTATAATGATTAATTTTTGAACAGTGGTCAGGAAATTAAATACTTGTGAATTGGACACTCATTATCAAAATTGATCAGTCAGCTTTTTAACTGGACACAAGTACAAATTAGATGATTTGGGTGATTTTAAATGATTTTTACAAAAATTTTAAAACAAATATTTGATATGAAATGAAATTGATGCTAGATACACAAGATTAAATGATACCCGAGTTACAGTGAATGTAGTTGGAGGTTTTGATGAGTAGTATGGAAATTTCCTGTTGTATTGTTGATCTTAAAGCTAAAGTCAATACACAGCAAAATTCTAATTTCCTCATCCCAGTATAACACTGAAAATAGGCTTTTCTTTTGTAATCAATCTCTGGTTTTTGATTAATATTTATTATAATTATTATTTCCTGATTTTGAGATGGCTGTATTTAATTATGCCCTGAGAATATAGGCCTATCATTGAATAAAAACAAAATTTAGATCTGGAAGTTATGGAATTGAGATTTGGGAAGAAAGGGTGCTGTTCAATCAAGTGAAGTTTTATATAGTTCAGATACTACATTTTACATGTATTGTAAGACTGCCTTGGTCTTTTTTAATACAAAGACAATCGATTTTGAAATAGCTTCTGCAGTGTGGCATGTCAAAACCAAACTTTGATACATATTGTTTACTCTCTATGATAATATTACCAGTTTTCATGAAACTGATCTGAGGAGGTGGCTGCTAGGTTGGTTTGAAATTATCAAACTCTGAGATTAATTCTATAATTGTATGGGTTGCCTCTCTGAGCTTATTGGTGCAGATAGTAAATGGTTTCTTCTCACTGTTAAATCAGCCTGTATAGGAAAGTAAATTAAGTAAACTTTAATAGAGTTTATTACTACCTGTATATGGTTATCCTAAGTGGATATTAAAGTAGCTAAGTCTTTAACTCATTATCAACCACAGTTCTCAACATTGAAAACACGAATTTTTTGTCAATTTTCTCTAAGTGGATGTTAAAGTAGCTAAGTCTTTAACTCATTATCAACCACAGTTCTCAACATTGAAAACACAAATTTTTTGTCAATTTAAATCAACATTGATGTTGTGATCTTACCGGGAAAAGATGGCCTTCTGATACCCAATATTTAAGACAAAATAAGCATTTTACCTTTGGTACCAGAATGCATTTCGGCGCAATTTGTAACAAGGGACTTGAAGAACGAGGCTAGACATTTTCCACAAGTCATGTCAAACGGTGACGCCATATTCTTATCTGGAGAGCATGCACAATAAATACTACCAGTGTAGACTGGAATAACCAGACGCTAGAGATTGTCATCGATTGAGACCTTGAATTTCGCTGAATATAACTGATTTGAAATTAGAGTAAAACGAAAACGATTGAATAAATCAGTTTATATACATTTAAATATATGCATTGCGACCCATTTGTGTCAATTTCTAGGTCACAAATATTAGCGATTTAGTTCCTTTAAGTCTCATTTCTTACTGAATCTCAATATTTTAATATTGCCAAATCTATATACTGTCTACATCACCAAATCTCCATATATCAGGATTAGCTTATTAACTATTGCTATATTTCTGATAAAGTGTTTTTTTCTGATTGACAAATGGTAGGGTAAACACATAAACAGACTTTCTCCAGGTACTAGATGTATGCTAGCCTGGCTACTAGCCTGGTTATGACCACATCAGTAAGTATAAATCTAACATGATTTTACACTGCAAACACTTATTGTGTATAAATATGTGTAATGCCTAATGTAAAATAGAGTTTATAGTATTATTACTATTTACACATACCCAGCCCAGTTGCGACAAACTTTTGCAGAACTGCAATTAGAATGGGCTTAGTTAAGTCAAATGAGGTTTTTATTTGCCTTTGAAACTTAACATTATATTACTTCAAGTCGTCTAAATCACATACTACCATTGGTTCTGCCTTTATGCGTGTATGAGTCTTTTGCCTTTCTTTTTCAATTCCATAACGTTGTTTGATATAAGATCCTTAGGGATTGTGTCAGGTATAATTATTCGTCAGTTTGAAGAGACTATCCCGATTTGAACAGAGTCTCAGAAATAACACGTATCCGTACACGTAACCTTTTTAAGATTTGGGTCAATTTTTTCATTAGATGACAGGATAATCGATTGCCATTCCTTTAGAGGTCAATACAGTGCATGATCCATGTGGTGTACTTGATAACAAAAGGTAAATTTCACCTACATTTTATTTTTATAAAATAAAAGTCTGCCTTTATCCAGACACCGTATTATACAGCTTGGGACACCAATCTCCATTTCCAAATGAAGACTGGCAGGTTTAATTTGTTTGAAAACGTATCAGGTATATTGGATTAGTTGCTCGACCATAAGGTACAGTATTTTAAGGGTTTTTAACACAAAATTATTATTCTCCAAAATATAATCGAGATTGGCCCTTTAATTAAGGTGTTTAGGAAATTACAAATAACAATTATCTGTGGTTGATTTAAAAAAGTGTTATAATTTTTATACGCCCACATTTTCATGTGGACGTATATTGTCGTCGCCCCTGTCCGTCCGGGCGTCCTGACGTCCATCCACAATTGTTTGTGGACACTCTACAGGTCACAATTCTTATCCGATTTTGACGAAACTTGA